AGCTTTTTTCGTCGGCGAATCGTTTCGGTTACACGAAGACGTAGGATTTTCGCCTGATATTTTAATTGATTCGTGTGAACTATGCGAATCTGTAAATGTTACTACTGACGGCCAATTTTTATTTTCCGTTGATTCACTACAACTATTACCAGCCTGACAAGAAACAAGTTCTTGTTCTGCATCAAATAATTCAAGACCAGACAATCGACGTTCCTGATTTGTTTTCTGTACTGTATCACCTAAAATTTTCCACAATGATTGTTTCCTTTTTTTCTCTGTATTATCGTCGTCTTGGATTTGTTCCTTTTTGCTTGTGCTATCTTTATTCTGAACTGGTTCTTTTTCCGCGATATTTTTAACTTCTAAATATTCTTCCACTGGGATATCCGTTTTCTTTTTATTTGTGGCCTCTTCGTCAATATTACTCAACCATGTCTGTATATTTTCTTCTTCTGTATTTTGATACTTCTTAATATCCAAATGAACAGGTCGTTTTTCACCATTGGTAATGCTTTTATTTTTTTTTAAAACAACTTCCTTCGTTGTAGAAAACATTGTATGAACATTTTTATTTAAATTTTGAGACAGTGGTTTGATTTTACTTCGATTATATAAAAAACGATAAAAATCCAGATTTCCGGTCGGAGCAAATTCTTGATACTGCCTCAATAATGAAAAAATGAGACCTACAAAATCAATTTAATCAACATTTCCATAAATTTTAAATGTTTTAAAAATATTTAATTAAAAATCAATACCTATAGTTATCTCATGTTTTACAAAATGCATATACATCTCGGCAATTTCATCCCGTAAAGCTGTATCTCCAAAAGTAAAATAAACCATAGATCGACCTGTTACTGCTGTAGCCATTAACTGCAATAAAACTTTTAATTTCGGATTTCCCCGGAAGGCTCCGCATCCCCAGTTTCCGGTACCCACAGGGGGAAGATTATTTTTATTACCTTCACAACCAACAAATCCAACATATGCCTATAAAAAACAAAATTGTCAGATTCTAAGTAATTAAATCCGTATTCACATTTAACAATAGATTTTCAACCTTATTAAGTTCTCTTGTTATGTTACTTATATTGAACTGCGATTGTGGGTGGGTAAAATAAAGTGCATCGATAGCGACAATAGATGTTAGCCGCCTGCCGCTACTATCTCTAGGAGTTTCATCAACGAAATCTCCTATCCATTTAAAGCTACTACTGTAGCCCTTATATTTACTGTATCTTTCGACACCACACACAATCAATGCTTCGGTATCATCTAATTCTTCAGTAACCAGCATTGTCACCATTAATTCAGGACATATTACAAATCTTATCTCTTCTTGTACACATCCTAAACCAAGCACACCGCCGCCAACATATCTAAAATCATTTGAAATGATCAGAATTACAAGTAAAATCAATCTATTTCAGTACCGATTTCAAAAATGTAAATTACTTATTTGCAAAATCTACTTGAAGAAGTCCAGTCCCTTCTGCTTCAATAGTCCCTCTGCTTGTAATATGTAATGGTAATAGTTTTTGTACTTGATCGTCCCATTTTGGACAGTCTGATTTTGGAATATAACGCCGCTGAATTGTTACCATACCTTCTGGGGCTGCTCTATGGAAAAATTATAATAGAATTCAAATTCCATTTCTCCTGAAATTTTAACATACCCACCTTTGGATGTTACTCTTCTAAAATAATGAAATATACATTTCATTTTTTCCGTAACGGATTCACATTTATTCCATTTTTCCTGCTTATATGCTGAAAATAATCTATGTAAATGAAAACATTAATATATTAAATATTTGTCGTTCATTTTAAGCTTTAACTGCATGATAAAATACCTATTGAAATTGATGTACGGGTATCTTCCATATTCAGATTGTGGATTGGTCGAGTTACGTCTCGGAAATGTACAGAAAAATGCATTAGCTAGTAAAGAGGCTATTTGTAACTGGCTTAAGCTGATTGTTCCATTAGTGTGACGTTTCAAAAGAGGCACTGGACCAGTTATTAAAACAGGGAGTTGCAAAGCAAGCTGAACCATTTTTGGAAATAATACTTCAAAGAAAATATTTGCTTCTTCTTCGTCCACAACCTTTAATTTGAAATCCGTATATAATCGAAATATTCCTGAAATGTATATGAAGAAAAGCATGCAGACTTTAAAATACTACCTCAGAAAAGAAATGATGCAATGCAGTGAAATCCCAACGCTGTGCATACATGTGATTATAAGAAAGTATTGCACTTTCTAATTGTTGAGTTGAAACAAAATTTTGAAGCAATGCTTCCTGTATTATTTCCCACCTATTACGATAACGACGAGTTCCGTTCTAAAATATGAAATACAATGATATTGTATGTAGAATTTCATACAACAAATAAGATCAAACCATATAGATTATTACACACCTCATCTATTGGATATACACTATGTTTTGAATGTGGCATCCTTACATAATCTTGACTCCATTTGTCTACCTGATGCATAGGATATGGTTTAGGTGTTCCTCTTGCAGGTAATGGTAACTAGTTAAAAAAATTTTCCAATAAAAATTCACGTGTACATATTGAAAAGAATAGTTTAATCTAATTCTTACCGATACTAATACTGTATGAGTTGAAGATGGGCATATAGGTGGCAATTCTTGACAGTCATAGACACCTAAACCCTTACGAATCTCATCCATACTCATTCCTTTCCATTCAGGTACATCATCCGCAGGTTCAGGTTCATTAACATCAACAGACATTGAATTTGCTTTTCAAAATCAATTAAAAATAAATTTAGAAAAAAAATTAAGAAAAGATTATATATGCAGTATATACACAATATTAATTTTTCCGACTTCTTAATTATCAGAAGTAAATGTAACGTATCTTACAATCATCAGAATTTACGGGGTTATTTGTCAAGTTATCTATTACATCGCTGAAGATGTCTGGTGAAAGTGCTTCTTCATCAAATGACAATCCAGGATCTGACATACTTCTTTAACTAAGAGAATTATAAATAAATTATAGTAATGATGAAAAATAACGATAAATAATAAAATAATAAAATTCTTACGCAAAAAAATAAAATAATGTTAATTGCATAACATATCTCACAAGTAAGTTAATTATTAGTGCCAATAAGTTATTACAATACTGATAACTTCCCTCATTAATTCATCATAATTTTATTTCAGACATTTATCATCATTGAAAATATAATTACGTATACACTGGTATACACTTATTTGGCGCCATAATTCCTTACGACGCAAACATATTGTGGGAAAGTTAGGTATAACAATATACAAAAACAATCATTTTTAGCAAATAATATTTTCATGTCACTAATATAATCTTAAATTAAAGTATGATTAATTTTACAGCGTTCTAAACAATCAATAAACAATGCAAACAATGCAAAAATACGAGGAAACATATGAGTATACGAGCAGCTTATTGCGACCGACACTACATCCTCAATAAAATCACTAGGATAAGTGCGAAGAATATAATTATCCGCTTTGCGCTAAAGCAAGTCAGTCTGTCTTTGGACGTGGAAGAGGTGAGAGTGTTTATTTTTACATTTTATACTTAGTTTACAAATTAAAATGTTTTTTACAATCATTCGTAAAAAGTAGTCCAAAATCTACTGCTGCGCCCTCTATTAAAAAACGGCGGAAACTACTGTCGATCCTCCGACAGTCGATAAGTTGACAAATAGTTTTCACTGTTTTTGAACAGATGTCGCTACCAGTTACTTTACTGTCGGTAAATCGGTCGGTAAGTTGTTGAGTAGTTTCCGCAGTTTTTGTATAGATGGCGCAATGATCGATTTTTTAAAATTAGGTTACCGACCATTAATTTTTAAAAATGTTTAAACATTATGCAAAATTAATACTATGATAAGATAGCTTTTTTCGTACAGAATCCTCCCTGTTTCATAATTTTTGTTGCATCTCTTATACTTTCTTTATATTACAGGTTTTCCATGCAAAATTTATCGCGAATGTAAGTTTTAAAAATAGCATAATGTAACACCAGAAAGCCAATATAAGATATATAATATATTTAAGAAGTTTATTTTATAGCATGATAAAAAGATAACTGCGCTGGACCTTTCACCTTCCACAATGGATTGCATTAAAATGATCCATTAAAATCATGCAGTTTATCATTATATTCAACAATGTTTCATTCGCTTAAATCAGTAGCTTATCTACCACAGCACTGTACAGCATAATACGGTCCGTAAGTGATACAGACAAAATTAACTATCTTCTGTCAACAAAAACAGGTGTTATGCAATTTATTACATTAACAATATTAAAATATACAGAGTTAATTTTATGAAATAATAAAATTTATTTTTGAACGGTAATCGCTAAATTAGATAGGAACAGTTTCAGAAGCCTTGTTTCAAGTAGGTGAAATAAAAATAGTCTCAAATAGGCTCAGGTCGTTACGAATTATTTATTTAAGTATAATAATTTGTCTTATTCATAATTCGGATAAATAATTAAACGATGTTATCTGTCGATACTCTTGTTACTTCTGTGTGACTTTAAAAGTGGCCTATCGATGACATATCCTCGCTCATGTAACACATTTAAACAGATTATAATGTTTGTTACTTAATACCAGATAAAAGTACAGATGAAAGAATGCTTTATATAAAATATATTTGAAAAGTTTATAAAAGCATCAGACCCGTTAACTATTTACTTGCATGCATTTGTATTTAGAATACAAGTTACTATTTTGAAACTAACATATCTCCTGCTTCTTTTTCGTTCGAACCTATAACAATCTGTTTACTACTATTATTCGATAATCGTTATCGGAAACGAACGTGAGTCCAATTTTGCTTGTGTGTTGGTTTCGATAGTGAAGAAGGCAACAAGTGCGTAAGAAATAATAAAAAATAAAGGGGAGATTGATTAAAGGGGAGTTTGATATTGCCGCTCGGCCTGCGCGTAACTAAAATCAATGAGAGACACCGGCAAATGTGTCAGTGCGGTTCCACCAACGACGCATCGGAGCTGTGTTCTCTCTTGGGTGTCTTCGATTTTTCCCTTCATTTTGCACGAAAGTTGTGTTATCGCTCGATAAAAATCATGTAAGATTAGAAATCGAAATGCCAAGCCAGGAAGATATGGACCTTTGTACCGACAAGGTACTGTCCAAAGGAAGAATACTTCAAGAATTGACTAAAGCTGTCAAACTGGTGAGTGGCTGTCTGCATGAGCATAGGGACCGACGTATATCAAGGCCATACGTCATCTACATATCTATGTATATACAACATATGCATTCTTCTAAAGCAAATTTCAATATGCACATCGATCTAGTGATCCTTTCTTCCAACTCTGTGGATTATTCGGCAGTGTTCCATGATCGCGAGTCTTTCGACTTGAACAGTTTATCCTTCTCTTTTGTTCCGCGAGGAACAACTATTGACTTGAAATCCTTAACCATGACGGAACAGTTGAAATCGAAGCGGTAAATCGAACACGCAAATGCATTCAGTTGCGCGTTAGCCGTCAAATGGTTAGATGAGTTTATCTTCTTTCTTGTTCTTTAACGTTAACTCGTGTTCAAAAGGTACATGTGCTTCTCTGCCGTCATCAAGATTTCTTCTTTTACATTTACAACAATTTCCTCTGCGTTGTGATCCCTTGTTCGACGTGTTTGTCATTATCCCTTTGTCCTTATACCCCTCACTGAATTTATCACTCCATCTTCTGTTTTTTTGAAATTCCTACTAATTAATAAATCTTAAGTTTGTCACCTTACAAATTGCTTTGCATCTCTGTAAAATCGTCCAAGAAATTAGGTATTGATACATTTTTTTTTCTATTTCATTGTTGGTTTTTATTAGTTTTTTTTTTTCTTTTAATCAATAATATTTCTCTAAAATTTTATTGGTTTTAATTATTAAACGAAATGTTTTTAACTATTTTTGTTAGGTTTATGCTCAAAGTTTATATGGTACAGTAGTCTTAGACGGGGATTCATGGTTGGTCTACTGGTTAGATCGAGCTCTGCGTCATGGACTACGTGTAGAGAGGCATGGATATTGGGGTACTGCTCGTGAACTTAGTCATCAAGACACTGTTGTTGTGATTCATGCCCTTCAAAGTGTTTTAACTTCCATTGGAAAAGGTATACTGTTTAAATTAATATCTAAAGAAGATAATTCTAATATATACTTTTGTTTTTCAGGTAGAGCATGGCTGTACCATACTCTCAGCGAGGGTAGCTTCGAAAGCTACTTGGCCTGCTTATTAAGAGATACAAAAACATTAAAAAAACAGTACTTTCCTCATGCACTTGTTCGGGATGTGGATAAAACTAATCAGCTAGTTAATCTGCTCGCTGGACTAGAAAATGTCTCCTTTACATTGCAGCTGGTATGTGGAACTACATTATTTCATGATATTAAATGTTATATATATTTTGCAAATTTTCATAAATACTTATAGTATACTTATATGCATATTGTAATGAAGTGTTTTACAAAATATCAATATTCATATCATGTAATCAGAAGCCAGTTCTCTTTTTTTTGTTTTTCGTAGTCACGGTAAAAGTCACTGATAGTATCGATGTGTGGTCGTCGGCGTTTATATATGTTTTGTATCTTTTATTTTATTTCCCCCCTATGTTGATATTAATATCACCCCCTGGTTACAATTATCTGAGTAATAAATTATGTCTATCATTTAGTAAGAGTTGTATGTCTAGATGAATCTGTTTTTATGAATTTAAAGGGCAAAAAGTTATCATTTGTGTACATCTATTTTTCATTCATCGTGTATCAGCTTCTTTAATATGTTCATGGAAAATCCTATAAAAACAATTTTTCGTTGTTTATTCACCAAACAGTTACAAGCTATTTTCAATGCATTTATTACTTAGGATGTGACATATCTGGACACTTGCAATTACATGCCTCAAAGGCCTATGAGTGGAACCATATTATCATTAAATCTCAGATCATCAAGCGTCTCCTCAAGTTTAGCTTCTCCCGGCGACAGTGGAGTTGCCTTTGATAGTGATATGGATGTTGCAAATGAAACAGATGCTAGCAGTTATAAAGAGGTATATTTTTATGACGGAAATTATAATATAAAATAATATTCATCTTGTTCAAGCAAGAAATCTATTTCTACTTTTAGGAAGATTTTCATCTCGAAGATACCCGTAGATATCGAAATAATAGGTACAAAACAATGATAAATAATTGTATGGAGGACAATAAGAATTTCAGTTCCAGCGATTCCAGCGAAGATGGCAAAACCCCGACACAATCGCCTGGTGTAACAACTAAATTTCAAACCGTAATGGTGACTAAAAGCGACATAGCGAATCAAAACTTAACCAGAAAACTTGACGACAATGAGCTTAACTGTTCCAGTTTGGATACTTTAAAAGATTACGATTTTTACAGCAAAAGTCTGGATGAGTCAAAATTAGATAAGATAAATAACAAAAACGATAACGTGGTTAAAGAATTAAACAAAAGAAGTACTTATTACAGCGACGGTAGTTACAGTTTTAAAAGAAACATTGATCCTCGAAATTCGTACGTGATCAACAATGATACGAATCTCTTAGAACTTAGCATGACTATTTCCGATTGCGAGAACATAGAACCGCCGTACGGTATTTTGAACACTATCAATATGACCGATGCTAGTATTTTGTCGTCTTCCAGTTCGGAGGCAATAGTGCAACGTAGGCAACGTAAGAAGAAACGTGGAGAAAGTAAAAAGCGTGTCAGCTTTCACGAAGATATTTTAAAGACTATGAAACTGGACGATGACGAAAGTTTTGCCGATTTTTCCATGAGTTTTTTAACGCCGAATTCGGTTCAAAAGAAAGACGCGCAAAAGGGTAGATACAGCTGGTGCGCCCACGGAGATTCCCCTTACGTTCAGAAAAGTGTTAACGCAAGGAACGCGCACTCGGATTATTATTCGTATTCCTCGTCGTCGAGTGTATTTGATAGCGACTGTGACAAAAAAGGGTCATTAAAAACGTGCGAGCAGTTACCATGTCAGAGCAATTGTAAATGCGCTTGCGGATTATCACTTTCAGAACGCGGTGTGCCCGAGGGTCAAGAGGATCCTGGCAAAGCACTGAGACCAAAAATGGAAATTGAATTGGAAGAAAACGAAGCGCAAGAAGCTTATATCGTTGAGAAACAGTACGGGAATATCGTTGAAGATCCTCCATCTAAAGTTGAGATGCCTTGTCCATCGAATTCAAAGAAGTATACTAGCTCTAGCGACTGGTCAGACGTAGATAGTACCACTACGTCAGAGGCGGACGAACGTAAAAATAGTAGGCATTTAGCTTCACCGTCGAAAAAGCGTAACATGACATCGATATTAACCGGAGAAAGTAGTAACAAATTATTGGCACCGCCTCTAAGACAGGCGCCATCTAAAACTTCCCTGTTGAGTAGATTCTTGAAATCCATTACAGAGAGAAAATTCGAAGTTAAGCAAGCTAAAAAACCTCAAAAGGCAAATCCTTTGTACATCAAAGGTGTAAAAGCAAGCTACGATTCGTTCAAAGATTTCAATGATAATCTTGATAGAGAAATACAAGAGAACGTAGCCGCAGAGAAGTTGGAATTCAGCGGTGAGAAAATCAGTTTAAAGTTACGTGAACTTTTTAAGAAACACATTTACAGGGACAAAACTGAAGAATTATATAAAGTCTACAAAGTAAGGAGTTCGTATATGACAAATGGAGAAAGCAAACCAATGATTGCTTTGTTAACAGACAAAACGTTGTATTTAACTGGTTCGAAGATGAACCACACTTACAGTAATCAATTCGTTATTCCTTATAACGAGTTAGATGTTATTATGGTAAGTTGTATTTGAAATCTTAATTGAATTTAATTATTAAATAGAATTACTCTTTGTAGGTTGGACCAAATGCACAAACAATATTGTTATCTAATGCTGATTACGAGATGCAATATCTATTTTCTACGGGATGTTCCCAGACTACTTCAGAATTAATTTCCCATCTGGAAATAGCCATGAGACGATCTCCGACGAAACCAAAACTTCCAGCAGTTAAAGAATTGAATTACGAGGATATGCATATTCTGAGGCATTCAATTCTTTGCGATACCGCAGTACATCCTGTACGTAAACATTTTGAATAAAGTGGTTTTAAATCCTTTATTTCTAATAATACTTTCGTTTCAACGAATTCAACATTTTAGGACGAAAAGATTGAACATTATAATCTTATTTATATGGAAGACGAATATATGTCACCTCCTAGTACACCGTGTGGTCCGACAAAAGAGGGTGATCTTATGTACAGACCGCATACTTATCAACAGCTTCATCCCAATGCTCCGACTAATCCATGGGAAGCTGGATACTTTGTCCTTAAAGGCGGTGTTGTTTATATGTTCACCGATGCAAATCAACGGTTGCCGAAACGAGCCATTCCATTAAAAGGCGGTCTCTGTCAGGGATGCCGAAGAATTCCAAATTCTCATCGTCCGCATACTTTTGAAATACTTTTAAAACCAAATAAAGCTTTTCAATTCGCTGCTCCGGACGAATATGTTGCTTCCGAATGGTTACAAAGTTTCGTTCAAAGTGCTTCTGGGTTGTTCGACGCTTCAAAGAAGAAGGAACCCTTACCGTGTAGCCTTATTACAACCACTCAACACTTAGTTGCCATGAAAGAAGTATTCCCGGGTAAACAACGGGGACAAACACTTTCTTGTGCCTCTGTAAAAGATCTCACAGCCTTTAGAGTACCTTTAACTCAGCAGTCTTGGTGTATACTAGTAAGTAGACGTACAAACTACGACATGCCATATTTCTATGATATCAGTCTCTTTTATCATCTTCTCGTTTGTAGGAGTTTGCATGTCGAGAAGTACACGAAAGTAGTGGCGATTGGGTTATATATTTTACTAATTATACTGAACTGTGTACCTTCAGAGAAATCTTGGAAACGTTGTGGGCTGATGCAAATTTGGTACGAAGCTTATTTAAAGAACGATTCTATATACGTTATTTACTGTCAAGCCATTTTCAATAATCTTTATTCTTTCAGGGGGAATTTCCAATGGTAACACTTCCACCAGACGATAAGCTTCATCGACGTTGTTCAGATGCCAGTAAAGAGCTTGAGCTTGCATGGCGATATTTATTACCTTCGGTAATTGACTAAATAGTAAGGTGTACCAATAACCAATAGATATGGTTAATCATCATCATAATCGCTACTATAAATACATAAAACAAATATTCGGCGAAACAATATACATAATATGCAATCCGGTGACACTGAATACATTACAGAAAGTTAACCATCCTGAAAATCAATACGTTATGTTCCTTGAGGGATTGGTGAATGCGAAAAATCATAATTTAGTGATATGTTATATCGATGTGCTAATTCAATAAAATGGTGCAATATCTTTTTAATATTATAAATCTTAAAGGAAAAAAAATTGACATTGATAATAATACGCAAAAATTGTAATATAACGATAAGTGTGAAAAAAAACACTATATCAGTTATATAGACGTCTATATATTCACACTTGTGAGAATTTATCTACGTTTGAAAATGCACTATTGATATTAAATTAGTTAATTTTAAAAGCGATGCCGATAAATTGGCAGTTAAGCTTAGCGCAGCTTCGATGATAAAGGAATACTCTACAAATTGCTTTTAAAATAAGTGTATGACGTATAATTAACATTCCTAATAGTAACATTGATAATAATAGTAGTAATAATAACGATACAGCTTTCTAATTTTATTTTTAATAACTTTTTTTTCATGGATATATACATATACGGAATCGCGAGGTTTATTGTTTTAAAGTAGTCAATCTCATTTAGGGTCTTAATTATTGTTTTTAATTGTACAGGTATCAATGTTAATCATTAAATGTAATATAACGTTGATCTCAAGGTGCTTTTGTTTAATGACGATATTTTTAATCGACGAATTAATCTTTTATTTCTTTATTAAGAAACATTATAACGCGATGAATTCTGTTATTTAAAATGTTATTTTTTTCTAAAATTAACTATGTATTTCAAACTAGAAGAAAAATTCAATTTACCAAAAAGGCACTATTTTTCACAAACACATTGATCTGTTATTTTTGAACTTCCAATTTTATGTTTTCGTATTTAAAGCCGTATATCTTTACGTTACCAAAACTACATAAAACGAATGCATTTTATAAATGTGAATAAAATGAAATCAATATATGCATCGTTTTATATAGGTACGAATAATTGTGATAAACATTTTAATGATTAAGAATTACATTAACGAGACTTATTAATTTATGCAATTGTAATATGAAATTTGTGTCACACGATAAAAATTGATAATGTAATCGGTTTCGTATGTTAGCTTTTAGCGCGTTTAGAGTCAAAATGTTACACTTTTTTACATGCTTTGTATAAGCATGTTTCTTAAATGTTACAGTCATGGAATTTTTGCACAATATCAACAGCGCCGTACATGACCATCAAACTTAACGGGAAGAGAGAAAGAAATATAAATAAAATTGTAACTAGTCAGGAGAATAAAAGTAAAAATATGTGTTGTTTTTTTCTCCTAAAAAAAACATATATGTGTTAATACATTTAAGTTTTTATTATACCTTAAATAAAACACAGTGAAAGTTCGCAATTCAACTCTTTTTATTATTGTAAGTTCTGTACAAGCATACAGAGTACATATGCTGATAACATTGTATATACGTATAAGTATTTATTTGCACAAATATTTAGCTATAATAATTACATACAGTTATTAAATGCTATATAATATTTCGTGTATTTTGTCAACTGCTTCATAATCTATTTCTTATATACATTGAATTTGAAGGAATATTTAACGAATTTTGATAATTATAATTTAAACAAAAATAAATTGTACTATATTATTTAATTATTAGGTAAAGCTTAAAATTTTTAGAATTTTAATTTCTATTTCTTCTAGCAGTATAATATGAATTTACGTTTAACATGCAATTTGAGGGATATTTACTTTTTGTATTAAAGAACTTCCATAATTTTGGACATGAGTAATAAAAGGAATTATTTTAATCCTTAACAAAATGTCCATCAGACTTTCTCGATCGTTTTAATCTCTCAATATTTGCGAGTGGATACTTTTCTTTCACAGCGTCAATGTCAAGGTTTGGGAAAATTCGCATCAAAACGGCTACCTGATTATCTTGATGACTGAAATATAAAAAGAATTAAGAAACATTTTATATTAAATAACTGGAATAAAAAACTTTCTGTAAATATGTTTGAATAAAGTAAAAATGAGACGAACTTCCGCATTTTACGTTTCTGGTTCCATAGCTTCTCTCTGTATAGCCGTAAAAATTTTTGTACTGCGATTCCTCCATAACCAAACTTATGGGTTTTATGCCACTTTGTATTTACAAATTTTGGTACAGGATATTGACGCATTTTGTACAAGTGACGAAGGCCTTGAGAAAGAAAAGTAAAATCAAAATACGAATTTCATCATGTAACTTTTGTACCTTAACACAATTATTAAAGGTATGATGTTTTACCAAGCGGGTTATATCGTAATTTTGTGGGACGTTCTCCACTTCTTCCAGTTTCAAGCATATGATATGCTTTGTTTCTTTCACGAACAACTGTCTCCAAGTTAACCATGCTGTCTTCAACTTTATCAATTCTTTCTGGATTTGGGAAATATTTCCATTCTTGCTTGTATGCTTCTTCCATTGTTAGAAGCATATTACGTTCTTTTAATAATACAAACCTTAATATATATATTCTATTAGTGTTATTTAAATGTTATTATAGTTTGAAAAATAAATTATACTTTACCACAACTTATGAAGATCTTCATTGCTTTTTAATCTTAATTCATCTATTTCCCAGGAACGTCCTACTTGTACTTTATCCTCTCCCCAATTCTTCTTGTCATCAAAAAATTCCATTAAATCATTTCGTTTAGACGTAGAGTGAAAGAGAGCACAGCGAAAAGTTGGCACCCTAAATGTTTAAGAACATTTTTATGTAGCTTCATACAATGAAGTCTTACAATTTAAAATTAAATAATAACCTGAAATACTAAACACTGAATATCATAGTCGAATATAAATTTGATACATTATACAACTTTTATAAGTTATACAAACCTTCTGATGTATACAGGACTAGAAATTGGACTAACAATTGGAGATAAGGACAAAGTTGTAAATAATTTGGTTACATTATTTACTGTTTTTGAAACTTGTACAGCTTTGGTGAGGGCTGCCATTTTGTTAATGAACCAAAAACGAAACACCGGTTGCCGGCCAGTGACTACAGATATAAAAACACTGTTTAAATCCAATTGGCTCATTTGTAATTAGCAATTTTATTTCAATCATTATGTGAGCCGAAACTTTTTAGTAATTTTTTATAATAAACAGATTTTGTGATAACTAATAACTGTAATTGATTGGAAATTGTTTGTACTTTACAGATATATCATTTTCATTGTTCGTGAGTGAATAATTTTTTAATTATTTACAAGTTTGTTTAATAATAAATAATTGTAGTGCGCATGCGCTACAGATCCGGTCGTACCCATCACTACCTCGAACAAGTGAGTTTCAAGATTTGTTCGTTTTCCGTTCTTATATTTCGCTAGATCCGGTCAAACCCATCACTATCCCGAACAAGTGAGTTTCACGATTTGTTCGTTTTCCGTTCTTATATTTCGCTATTTGCTTCGGGGTCCCTGACACCCCAATGGCATTATATCGGTATGCAGCGTCACCAGTATGTACTTCGGGGTCTCAGATACCCCGAAAGCCGAAGTATCGGTAAGCAAAGAGTGTCGGCGGTGCTTCGGGGTCCCTGACACCCCGGGTGCCAAAATGACGGTATGCAAACATTGTCACCGGTGCTTCGGGGTTCCTGACACCCCAATCATGTCGGTATGCAGAGATAGTCAATGGTGCTTCGGGGTTCCTAGCACCCCGGATACAATATTATTGGTATGCAAAGGTAGTCGCCGGCATTCAGGGGTCCTTAATAGCCCATTATGATATCAGGTCGGTACGCAGAGGGCGACATTGATGCAGCGGGGTCCCTAACACCCCAGGATAATATCAGGTCCGTATGAAGAGGGCACAACCAGTATAATTATTTTCCAGAGTTTATTTAATTTGCTTCATTTATTTTTTTTTGCTTATTAAATAAGCTCAATGAAGGGGAATAACATTTATAATTATATTCCTCTTCTGGGTCTCAGCCGAGGACCCCATTTATTTTACTTTTTCCAGTTATTTATATAATTTTACCCCTCATTATAGGCCAAGGCCATCTCAGTATCCCTTACATCCCTGCATTCCTTCCATCCCAGCATTCCTTACATTCCTGCAACCCTTAAATACCCTTTTTTTTTTTAAATATTGAATTAGTGCCGATGTCGGCACTCCTCGGGCCGCGTGCAGTGGAGACCGGGGCCCAGCCTCGGACCCCTACGGAGTTCCTTTACATCTCTGCATCCCTTACATCCCAGCATTCATTTCATCCCTACATTCTTTCCATCCCTATAATCTTTTCATCCCTACATTCCTTCATCCCTTAAATACCTACGGAATTCCTTTACATCCCTCGTTCCGCTACATCTCTGCATCCCTTACACTCCTGCATCCCTTACATCCCTGCATTCATTTCATCCCTACATTCTTTTCATCCCTACATTCCTTTCATCCCTACATTCTTTTCATTCCTATATTCTTTCCATCCCTACATTCGTTCATCCCTTAAATCCCTACATAATTATCATCCCTACATTCTTTTCATCCCTACATTCCATACATCGCTTCATCCCTTACATCCCTACATTCTTTTCATCCCTACATTCCTTACATCTCTTCATCCCTTAAGTCCCTGTATTCTTATCATCCCTACATTCTTTTCATCTCTGCATCCCTTATAATAAATATAAAGACTGCTTCGAGTAAAGGTAAGTGAAGGTAAGTTAGTTTCTTTTTGAGAATTTCGCGAAAATTTCGAAAAAACCAGCGCCCTCTAGCGGCAAAAATGCGAACTAAAATCTCGATGCCGAATCAGCGCCCTCTGGCGGCGAAAAAAGGAACTAAACCATGCTCAAGTTCTGGCCCTCTGGCGGCAAAAATGTGAACTAAAATCTCGATGTCGAATCAGCTCCCTCTGGTGGCGAAAAAAGGAACTAAATTTGTATAAAATCGCGGGCCTTATAGCCGCAAAAATTTCAACTCAATTTCAGGGAGGTACTGGGATGTATGGAATGCAGGAATATAAGTGATACAAAGATGTAAAGGATACAGGCATGTAAGGGATGCAGGGATGTAGGGATATAAAGAAGGCAGGAATGTGAGGAATGCAGAGATGTAAGGGATGTAGTGGTGTGAGAAATGCAGGGATGTAAGGGAAGCAGAGATGTAAGGGATGAAGAGATGTAAGGAATGTAGGGATGGAAAGAATGTATGGATGATAAGAATTTACTGCTAAAAGAAGCAATGCAGGAATATAAAAAATACAAGGGATAGCCCAGGGATGCAAGGAATGCAAGGGTTACGCCAGGGATGCAAAGGATAGGATTCTAAAATTTAGAGAAATGAATAAAAATATACTTATTGTTATAACTGTAATGTTTATTATCACAAACTATGAGTTAAATCATACACAATAATGTAAGAAAAATTAATCATGATTATCATAATTGCCTCCTTTTCCCTAAATAGTTTTATATAATTTCCACAGATTAATTACAGAATCACAATGTTACAGAAAATCTGCTGCACGTACAGCAAATGTATACACAAGTAAAGAAATGATCAAGTCTGTAATTACTTTTCAGCTTATCAAGACATAAAAATTTGCATGGACTTTATAATTTGCAGTATTAGAAAAATACTTAATCTATATGTATATATATATATGTATATATATATATATATATATTTATTGCCAATAAAGGGATCAAAAATGTGATCGAAGGCACCTTTTGATATTAATTATACTTACAATCATATAAAAATTATATTGCTTTAACATACTACTATATACACTGATGATCTAATGTTATCAATACATATGAGTTTTTCATTGTTGTCTTCTTATGCATGTTACTACAAATTAAGGTGCTCACGGTTTTAAACACTTTTTCATAAAATATATATTTATATAATTACTTATATATTCCACGTATATATATATGTATGTACGTAGTACTCGCATATCACTGAGGACATATGCATATATACCTACATACACATTAAAATTTTAAACATTAAACTACAGTTCACATATATAGTAATTTCCTGTACTCAACATTGTTAGGTATTCAATGGAACTGCACCTTTTGGAATGTACAAGAAATAAACATAGTTATAATAAAAAAAGTGTTTTTTAGATTGTAAGATCATTTCATCAGATTTTGTGGAAATTTAATTCACGTAATATGTTTTTTTGAACTGTAGTTTCCACATGCTAGATCGGAACTTGATTGTTTAATTGATTTCTTTAAAACATTGCGCTTTACGCCGCAAAGATTATACATACATATATATTTATATATATTTATAAACAATGATTGTAGTTCGTATAACGATAAAAAACGAATTCTTAAACAATAACAAGGTATACCACTTGATACTAAAATCACATAAACGCTCGATATCCAGGCTAAAAATCTCTCACCCGACATTCGACAATACGGTTACTTTGACTTGGAAAACGCATCCAATGTTTTCGTAAAGTCAATTAAATAATACCGGTCTCCGTTTGTCTCTTACCTTTTGTCACTCGCTCTGAAAACGTTTCGTCTGAAATATTACAGTACTATGAACAATTACACGTTACGATGATCAATTTAATTTTTTTTTTCACGCGTCCTCAAGATATCGTTACTGTACAAAGTTTTTCAAAATACAAAATCTAAAATGTCATTAGTAGTTTAACTGCTAGTTTAACTAGTAGTTTAATTCGTACCATTGTTATTAAATTTAAAAAACGAAATACTTGGTTTCACGATATGTAACATAACCGTACACGTTACGGTTCAAAATGCTGATTTATACGTATCAAAAAATCGGTATTAGCTGTTTATATGTGTTGCAATTAACAGAGCGACACATGCGTCATTACAGGCAAACGGTTCCGATAGACTCGCAGACTTGGTGCAGTTAATATATTTAGTAGGAAAAATTTGGTCCGACAGTTCTGTACAAACTGTTGACTGCGCTTCAATTGTATGTCATCACATGTGAATCGTTGCTGCCGTGTAGCGTGCTTCTCCTCTTCGCCAACTCCACTGACTTGGTCGGTACTGTTTTAAAAAGATTCGGTGTTAAAAATTCCATCAAGAACATTTATATATGTATATTAATGTTAATTCTTCTTACCCTAATCAACATTTGTCCAGATGCACTGTGAGGATTACGATAAGCATATCCAGCCCAAGCCGCCAATCCTACGACTAAAGCAATCACCAGGAGAATTCCAATAATTCCAGAAACTCCCATGTTCATGTTGTCTCGAGCTAGAACCATAGATTACAAATTATCGTTACACAAGTAATTATAAGGACGTATGACATATTGAAATCTGAAACTTACAACGTCCTAAAGGACTCGTTCCAGGTCTTTCTTGCTTTGCATTCATTAAATCACTGCCGACAGTTTTCTCCGAATGCACATGCAATACATGATTAAAATCTTCTTCGTGCTCTTTGTACGTCGTAGTAGGCGATGGGCAATTATTAACATCTTTTATTTTTCTAACGTCACAACCTTTCAACAACCAGTCTTGTCGTGACCTAAATGTTCCAGTACTGCACTGATTCAGTTCTGAACACCATTTGCAGTCAAAATCTTTCAATTTCGTCAGACAGTCTTTGCAGTTGTCCATTTCCAAGCAAGTAGGTAATGCATTCAAATAAATTACTGTCCAATTCTTAATATCCTGCCGATTAAAGTTCACACGGTGATACTCATAAATTGTTTTTCTCCGGACAACTACGGGACAAAAAATGTGATTCGTTACTTTTATCTTGAATGTTAAAAATAATACCACAAAAAAACACTCACAGAATACTATTCTGTCCATGATGTAAGCGTCGCTGAGACCGACTTTAACCGGATGCGCCGTGTCTTGGATTTTTTCAACCATCAGTGGAATCATCGAGTACACGAACACGATGTCACCGTTTTGATGTAACGTCACTTGGAAAGTAAAGGCACCGGCGTCCGGTTTGTCTTGCAAAACTACCTTCTCCCATACGACCGTAAACGCAGTTCCTGTAATTATACATTGCCATTTATTAACAGGATCCAAGCTTGAAGTCTGTAATAAATGCAACAAAGTCCAAATTCGCATAGATTTAAAGTGTTTTTTTTTTTTTTTTTTTCTAACATATTTCCTAACTGTTAAATACCATTGTCGGCATATTTTACGTAGCTCTCGTTCGACAGACGGGTATCAAAATTTGCCATCAACGGTGCGATGTACTGAGTAGCGGCAAGCCAGCTGTGAACATATTCGCCGGTGTACAGGAAACCCCCGGTGGCTATTGTGATGTTGCGAACTTTGTGGCCGTAAAATGGGAAGTCGAATTTCAATTTGACCGTCTGTTGAATAAAAATATTCATGTAATAATTATTCTGCATACGGTAGTTACACGGTACAAGGTGAGTCACGCGATTGGGAGGAACTACAACTCTTGCTTTGTTGGAGATAAAAACAGATGGTAAAAAGGAACTGGTGTACAGTGGAAGAAAACCTATCTTCTTTATATGGTATGTTACAAGAATACAAGCATCCATCAGGTTGAAATATTTTTAAATATTTTTTGTATTTACTTGAAGCTTTCAACAGATGGCGCTAATAAGATAACAATACCTGTTGCATGATCTCATTCAATACCTTTTACGCGTAAAATGACTGAAAAAATGATTGCATTCCCTTAAGAAACAAGAGTTACAGTAAGTACCGATTATTCGACACGGCTTTGAAAACTCACCGCAGCTCGACGATGGCTTTGACTGAGCAAATGATTGACTTTCAAATCCGGATTCTTGTTGATGTCCACCCAGTACCTTCTGCCGACAGCCTCATCAATGATGAACGTACTATTGTAATACTGATGGGTGTCCAATTCGGTTTTGGTGATGTTATGCTGGGACAATGTTTTATTCGTCACATCAGAAAACTTGCTGATAGATATATCCCCGATATTGCTTTCAGAATCATCTTTCTCGACCGTGGACGCTGTCACAGCAGATTCCGTCACGTTTGTAGCATTTTTATTGGTCTCAGCTACTTTGTCCGTCGCGTTGCTCTTCATATTTTTGGTACTAGGCTTGAGTGGAACCTGTACGCGAGAAACAATGCGAAAGCGAATTATTTTACAGATAAAGAAACCCTCAAATTTAAATACATTTGTTTCTAAAAATCGTACCGATTCCACCGTCAACGATGTCACATTCGATGGTTTCTCAGTCGTCGTGGGTTCCTGTTTAACGAACCATGCGGTGGGTCTGGGCGACGAAACGACCGACGATTCAGTCGTGGATTCCATCGAATAGGAAACGTTTGGACGCGACTTTCGCAATTCTACCACCTTCGGTGGAGGTTTCCGTGCTGGAGATTCAGGATGTTCCGTTGCAGCTGGTTGTTGCTGTTGCGGTTCCTGCGATTGTTGTTGCTGTTGTTCCTGGGGAGTTTGTTCAGTCGTCGGAGGTGACTTCTCGTCCGTTTCTCGACGACGTCTGTCGATTATCTGTACATTTTCAGACGGGTCTTCCACGGACACGTAGGAGAACTCGATTGGTCCAATTTCTGAGTTCGAGTGTCCTCCGAATAGTCCATAGTGGTACCGATCTGAAAACATTAATGAAACTTTAATTAAGTATATAATTAACGAGCAATATCCGAAGAACGTGTTAACTATCAAAGTTGAGATTCATTCTAATTACTTTCCACAGTTGTGTAAGCAATTTCATTGATCAGTTTCAGGTCAATTGGCTACAGGTACCGTTTCTCCTTCTAAAGGGAAAGAAAAATGTGAATCAATCCCCCCAGACTGCACTTGATGCCACTCTGGGTTTAATATTATAATAAGGTGGCAACCCTAGGTAGAATACAAACGTCAAATACAAAGAGTACATAGTCGAGAACGAGACGACGATTCGAATCAATTGATGGATCTCATAGTCGACGGTCTCTGTTGATGAAAGGGGTCGTGTACGCTCGTTTTACGCGTGGCCCTGCATTAAGCGGCCAGTCAGTGTCGCAGATCAGTATAAATTCCAGTGATCGGTGCCAATGTTTCTCCATTAAATCACCCGCTCTGTTCTCCCGTGTTAGTTTCAATGATCTCTTCGAGGGCATAGGAAGAAGAAAGTAGGAATAAATTTTCTTCGACAAATTAACTTTATTTCATTTAACCTTTAATCAATTTTCCACTAAGATATCTTAATACTTTTTTGCTGTTTAGATACACAGTTCCGTGTCACATTTTCTAAGGGTATATTTTGAAAAAATTTGTCAGAAAAGGAGACTTCAGTTTCTTTAGCAAAAGCAGACGGAAGAAGTGGAAGGAAGAGAGAAGAAGAGGATGCCAGACGGTTGGGACAAACTATCGCGACCGGATAGAGCAATAATTGGCGATCCGACAGATAGTCGAGAATGTACGAAGCTTGACGTCAGTATAAATTTTCATGCTCTGAAAGCTGGCTCGATTAAACGTTCAACTCTCAATCGTTATCCGTCCTTCCCCTCTCCTGGGGACCAAAGGAGACGACAATTTATTCGAGCCTCGTTCAACTTTACTCGCCCGTACGTCACACACGTTACACGCTTTTCAACCGAAATACAATAAAGAAACCACCACTGTTTGATCAAGTTAACGTCTTCGTTGCCAGCTACAACGATTACCTCAGATTTCTTTGAAACGATTGAAAATTCAAAATAATAACTATCATCGATAGTTCTAATAACGAAAGTAGAGCAGTAGACTCAGTTAATTAGGCACTCGGTAAAATTTCATTAAGATAAATATAATTTTAACGAGTCATTTTAATACCAAATGAGTCGTTAGCGACGAAAGAGCGTCCTAATGGATCGTGAGCTGATAATCTTTAATGTTAAAAAGAAAATCTATGAATAGTTTATTAATCCCCGCTCGATAAAGTGTTCAATAATTCATGCCTCTTCATTAATATGAATCGAACGATCAAAGTGTTCGAAATCCTCCAAGTACACGCGGTGTACGGTGTTCGATATGAAAAATGGATAAGCTTAAGGAAGTAAATGCGTTAACCTTTGTTCTTCACGGATCGATAGGCATTGATTATGGACAGGAGAGGTCGACGACACGAAATGGGATCGTTAATACCGTCTCGCGCCGAATTATAGCCAGCGAAGGAAGGCTGTTTTTATAGTCGAGTAAGTATGGAAAATTGATCGTAGACCTGCTGAAGGCTCGATACACCTCTACACGAAAAAATATTTATACCGAAAGATATTGTGAAATGGTACTTTTATAAATTATGTTTACTATTTTTCGAACACTCTGTGCATGGTCCGCCCACGCGTTTAAACATCGCCGTTATCCGGTGACACAATGTCTTTGATTGTCGGTCGGAAGCTGACCAGCAATGTCAATGCTACGTACATTCGCGATCAAATCAGGCTTCATTTTGAAATGGAAAGGATGATAATCAAGGAAGCTAGTAACTTTCTATCATTCGTTAATTATCGCTAATTACCGCGATCACGTTCGACTTTGGAACGTAATCCGTGTTCAGAGGCATCCCAAAATATAGCCACCGTGGCTGTATCGAAACGGGAGCATCGATTTAAAATTTCAAACAACATTCTTCGACATCCCAGCTCGTCCAAGGACGTTCCTCGAGTAGAATCGTAAATGCATCTCATTGCAATTCGTGCGTCTGTCTGTCTGAACGAATAAATTACATTCGCGGAGTGGAGCCTGAAATCGTCGTTAGTTATAAGATACTTATAAGGCTCTGGATCTTAATTAATTAAGCTCCAGATCCTCATTAGTCTACCTGGATCTTCCCGAATTTCCAATGTCCCCTCCTCCTAGTGATGGGTACTTGCTGCAAATTTCCAAACAACCAGAGAATAGCTGAAATTCGAAGTAAGTATCGGCCTTTTCTCCTGAAACATCCTATAGAACGAATACACGAACCAGTTTTTGAAACGTGACTCACGATTGTCCCGTATCGTATCATACGCGACACCCTGTTAAAATAGCTCCGGTTCAGAACTCGTTCCCAAATATCTCCAGAGATACCCACCCCTTGCACACGTTCTTCTCTGCCATGGAACGTATTAAGTTGGACGGAAAACACTCTTTTTACCTTGTACTAAGCTTTCGTCACGCTACTTGAAAGTACTTGAAACCGTAAATACCATCTGCGAGTATACTGCGGTTAAACCGCCTGTGAACCAAGGAGACCGAAAGATTTGAAGGCGAACCAAACTAATTACCCTAATTACTAATAAACGGAGCCATTACCAAAAAATGGCAGGGTAACCTACATTGACCGTTCTCAGGTAAAAGTTACTCAACGTTCTCTCCTAAAACAGGTTATACAAAATGGCTGTCTTTGTGTTAGACTGCTAAAAGCATCGTGTTCCTTTTTTCCCCTCTGGTTCAACTCTGTTTTCCAGCTTCGCCAGCCGCTTCGTATCTCGCGCATTGTTCGACGTGGAAAGAATGAAACGATTCTACACGCTTCTGCCCGTTGGATTATGTATTTCTGGTGAATATCTTTACCAGTTTACGTAGCACCGGAAGGTTCTATTTTAAAGTGGCATTCTTCCCTTTGCTCGTAGGAACCGCGTAGAGAAACGGTGGTAAGAATGCTGAAAAACTTGCAAATCGTATCTCTTGCCAGAAACGCGACATCGCGGGTGTACCTTACGTATTCGTAACACTTTCCATTCGTCGGCGTATAAATCGTGAAGAAAAGGTCGTGCCCTATTGTGGTCCCGGTTCCCGTGTGTGAACGTAACGGTTCAATGACACGTGGGAAATTTTCACAATCGAGTACGCTTCACCGCGTACACAAATACGGCGTCCATTTTCCTTCCTGTGTTGCGTTACACTCCCACCGGCACGATGAACCACGATAAAAGATGCATTCAGAAACGTTTTCCTAACGAGGAAAAATTAAATCTTCGTTTGCGACAGACTTTAAGAGGCATTCCATCAATTTTCATGGCACAATAAATTGACTCTAATACAATTACATGACATTGTAGGCGTTTAGTGAAGGGGTAGAGATGGTTTCGTCTCCCCAGACGCCTTTAGTTCGGGCCGGGGACCGCTAGGTGGCGGCGAGATGATTAGTGTTCTCGCTGGCGGTCGCTCGGCACGCAGTTATAAAAGTTCCAAATTGCGGTATGATGGGTGCCTGGGGCAGACACTGACGAGTCTGACAGATCTCGAGACAAAACCGCCTTTTTCTCTACTAAATTAAAGCTTAAAACTTGACGAAAATAACTGCATAAACCCTCCGAGTCTATTTATAGCTTTTCCATTACTAATTCGTGGCCGAGTTGCATCGCGGTGCATAATTGCCAAGTCTCTCATTTATGAACGCATCCGCGGTGCCCTCGGTGCTATTGCGACCGCAATTGAGGCTCATAGAAAAAAATAACAATGTCCGATTTATGGTCGTAAACACGTCGAGTCAGCGAGATGCATAGCCGCAGAAAAGTTGATGAAATTGGCGTGCATAAAACGGGTCGGCGTAATTTATGGTTTACGGAGAAACGTTTACGGGATTACGAAGTTAGAGTCATCGATATCTCGGGATCGATATCTTCAGAAATTTCTAAGGGGATCGTAAAACTGGAGCATCGATGAGCGTTAGCCGTAATTACGGACGATCACGGCAGAAAATGTAATTATCGGAGCTCGTTAGAGCGTCTCGAAGAACGATTCGCTTTTTCGACCAGCATTTGAAACTGGTAGAAATTCTTGAAGGGGAAAAAAAAAAATACGACACGAACTGTACTGGAACCACGTCGACACGGCGTAAGGATTTTCAGGTCAGCGAGCAGGAACGATATCATCGTCGCTACCCGGTTGGAGTTTAGAAGAGTAAACTGGCAAAAGGGAGATTGACAGAGAACCGATGAATATTTCCCGAGGGGAAAACAGAAATGCAGGGGAAGGAAAGCCTGTCGGAGTTAACTCTTCGGAGGGTAATAAACCATCAAAGGTTCGCCAGCTGATGAACCAGAGCTCGTAATCTCGTTTTTCTTACCATACCGAGAGGAATAATGGTCGCTTTCACCGAAAACCATCGCACGTGAACCTCGTGAAACGCTCTTCGAGGTATTTGGCCTTATCTTTTTTCTCTCTTAACGACTGTTTTTCGTCATATTTTATAAAAACGCAGGAAATTTTAATATTTTCCTTACTGTGCGACAAAGACCTCGAAAGAGTACAGAAAGTACTACCTTAAGTAGGTTTCTACAGTTAGAAATGAAAAATTACTAATTACGGTGTGTTATCGCATAGAATATTAACCCGTTACTAACAGCAAAGAGAAACGAGGAAAAAATGTACAACGATATAATATCGATAAGAATATTAGCAAGTATATTGAATAACCTAGAGAAAATTAAACGGAATTTCCGGTTGGTTGCTGACCAATTCACCTGTTGACGCAATACAAACGAAACTTTCGCCACGGTGAGTAACTGCTTCAACTCGGTACAGTTAGATTCAGGAAAAGCGAATTTCCTTGACGTACAGTCGATAATCCGATGATCGAATCGAGTATAATTGGAAATTAGAAATTTTTGAAAGTTCTACAAGTCATCGATCTTCGAACGAGTAGTAAATGACTAATACAATCATTAATTTCTTCGCGTTTGTTTCGACGCGATATTCAATTAATTATTGATTGATTGGTACATGGCTTTCTACGGATAAAGAGAAGTTGAGGTACGATGATTGATTTCCTCTATCGAGGATCGCTTCATCTCGAAGGATTTCATTGTAATAGAACTTGAAAAGATGCCGTATATGTACTTCGAGATCAGATTTGTCCTTGCATTTACGTAAGCACGCGTTACGCAAAGAACTTTAATTACGAGCTAGTGTCATTCCTCGCGAATATACGAGATGCTAACGAACGAAAATGGCCGATAGAACGATGCAATAAAAGAAGTTTCTGCAACGAACGCCCTTATCAAAATTCTTAATCGGAAATGTGTACTTTTTTTTCTCGTGGAACTTGTAAGGTGACAATGGAGCAACACGTTCGATCGTTTCTCTGTGTTTTTATTAGGTGACTATTTTAGCCCGATCGACGAGACACGGCTAACGTGGCATGAATTGCAAATTAGTTTTCTTTGTGCAGCGAACCAAGTGCAACAGTAGAGCTCTTTGATAACTGCATGGTCAGAAGAAAACCTTGCAATTTACCGAACCATGGTTTCTTTGGACCTTGCGTTCGAGGAGCAGCTGAATTTTGATTCGAAGACTTGAAACATTATTGCTTCTTAAAAATTAATATTTGGTATCTTTGAATAATTTGTCAACGTTGGAAATCCCGTAATAAAATTTAAAAAAATGAATTGT